GAAGGCTGCAGGCGCTCATGGTCACTGCAATGTACTGCAAGGCGAAGGTAAATGCAACGACATCGCAGGATATCGTAGGCAAAGTCCCAGGGTGAAGGCGAAGCGAAGTAGCAGAGCCAGCAAGCAGTGAAGTCGAGAAGCAGACGTGTTTTGCAGAGCTTTGTTAGTCGATATTGGGGAAGCCGAAATCAAACCGAATCAGCGCTGACTAGATTTCGGTTTCTACATGCCCCAAGGTGCCCTTGGTACCTGAAACGTAACGTGGAGGCCGTAGTGAAGCCGCAGAGACGGGTCGTGGTTGAGGCTGTCGAGGACTTGCGTCCCCTCTGCCTCCCTGGAGGAAGACTCCCGTTGAATCCCAACCATCGCGTTAAACTTCTGGTGCACGGACATCGGCCTATCGCCGGCCCGTCCTCGTGAGGCCTTCCTTCGCGTAGTGCGGATTTTTCGCCAAGCGGGAAAGAAATAGGATAAGGAAAAGAGTTTGTTCAACAGGAAAAGCGTTTGTGAGCCAAACCGTGAGGGAGGACGTTTGGATTTACGGGAAGGAAAGAGGATTTTCAGTTGTAGGACACCGAAAATGACGGAGGGTTAAGAAGCGTTCAATCCTCAGGGGCGGTTCTCTCGCTGTCCCCGCTTGGCAACTGCAAACTTCAAGCCATATTCGTCCACACAATCGCTCGTCTGACCAAAAGGTAGTTTTGCCGTTGTTGCAAGCACAGCAATGCGGGTTGGGTGTGGTGGTGTTTAGGATTCCCGTGCATTCTTGCGAGATCGACATGCGGCATCGCTGAGAGACCTTGGTTTACAGGAAAACCGCTGACTGGTGGTCTAGTGGTAACCGTGCTTCACAACAGTTGACATGCAAGATACGGTAATATCTCATCCATGAACCCAACCTGCGAGCCATCTAACCTGCTGTCCACCGTTTCCGTTGGTCCCCCGCCCTCCGGCGGCCAACCCGTCCGCTCCCGGGAACAACCCACTCTCCTCCCCCCCACCGCCCCTGAACGGCCCACCCTGCTGGATCACGTAGCCGCCCAACAGGCTGTTGCCGCCCGCTTCAAGAGGTGCAGGAGGCCCCTTGCTCGGGAACGTACCGCGCGAGGCCAGCACCCCTGTTCTCGGGCGTCTGCGCGAACCACTGCCGCCGCCGCCATCCTTTCCCGCGGTATTTGGCTCGCTGGGTGCGATTGACTGTTGCAGCTGCTCCGCCCCCCCTCCCCCGCCCGGCGCCGCTGGCTGAGGGTGTCGTTGCCTGCTGCCGCCGCCGCCTGCGCTCCGGGCCCTAGCGCCACCGACGTAGAGAACTGAACCTTCCCTCGAAGAATTCTGGGAATTGCCTTGTCGAAGCGGCTGTTCTCCGGTCCCTGTTGCCACGTGCTGACGGGAACCTCCCGTCTCCAATGAGGCCGACGGTGTGGTCACCGTAGCTGGTCGCGGCGAGCGCGACGAAGGGGAAGACGGCAGCTGGTGTCCTCGTCGGTTGTCGTCCTCGTTGTTGTTGTGATTATTGTTGTTCCTTTTGTGAACATTGTCGTCTTGTGGGGAGGAAGACGAGGCAGAGAAGTACACCCCGACGGTTGTGGGTGATCGCAAGAAGCGATCGAGATTGCCACCGCCGCCACCAGAGGACCGCCCCAACAGAAAGTTGGGGTCAGCGAGAGCAGGGCGGTTATGACGCTGTGCGTGGCCTTTTTGCCCCATGTTGGCCCGCTTGTTGGAGTCCTTGCTGTTTTTCGTCCAAGAAAATGAGAGTTTTATCGGACAGCAGGGTTAAGAAATGAGAAGGGGAGCTCCGTAAGGAGTCACTTCTGGGGAGAGGGCACCAACGCGCCGCCAATGCGTTTTCGCCAGTACCCAGCTAAAGAACGAACTTCGGGATCTCGAAGAAAGGAGGAGCCGTACATCCTCGTACTACAGTAGATCATAAACAGTCTGAGATAACAGACTACCAAGCCAATCCGTTGTTTCTACGCGTGTACTGTGTAGGTGATTTCTTCCGCAACAACCCTTAAAAGGAAAACTACTTACACACACTGGTAGATCCCGCGCTCGTTCCGAAAGGACCTTGGATGCCTCCCCCGCAGCAGGGCGGTAGTGTAAGTCTGGTCTATAGAGTACTCCGCTGATGCAGAGGTTGGCGCCGTAGAACAAACCATGTCGACGTGTTAGTCATTGTGTCGCGGGGAGGGAGGGGCGCGACGGTGCAGGTAGGTACGAGCGTACGAAGCGTGTAGGCGACCCTGTAGGTGTCCCGACAAAGAAAACAGGGATCGTGAGCTTGCTTACTCGAAACTGCTGTATCTCGACCCCTCTATCCCAACCTACGATGTACCTGTACTGCCATTGACAATGTCGTCGTAAACACCACAGGTGCAATAACAGTGAGTGACTCTTTGGCGCCCTTGAGAAGGGAATTTTGAACAGCAACGGTGACTAGTCTACAGCCGAAGACCGCCATTGGCTGGGGAAAAAATGCGGACGACAAACTCACGTTTGGCAACTACAGCGAGGGGTGAAGTTTCTTCAGTGCCAACCTCAGGCTTTGCGGTAGCTTTGCGCTCATCATCAACATTCTCGTCTTCCTCTGGGGGCAAAGGTGTCGTGGCGGGCGTCTCCTGCGCGACCGCCGCTTCGCCCTCTTCGCACGCCATACGTCTGCGGACCTGATGCGTTGGTACTCCGTAAGCTGCTTCCACCGTCGTCGCGACGACTGAATCGGCTGGTTAGCACACACATGTATCCATCGCACGCAATACGGGTAATTTGCTCGATCATTTCATCACACATGATGACTCTCTTCAGCTCTTCAGCGACAGCGGCGGCGGATGAACGCACGTACCGACAATTCGGCGAATACTATCAACAGTTTCAGAATTGTCAAAGCCTCCTTGCCAACGATAACTCCTCTCAAGAGTAATTCCCCCGCATTTTCGGCCACCGAGCCTGGAGGCTAACACTGGCTCTGGGCTGCAAGGGGGGCACGAGGCACGGCGATCGTACAGGCACGTGTGAACAGAGGGTGACACGTCAGAGCTAGGCTGGAGATAAAGAGATTGGTGTTTCACCTGTAAGAGAAGGGGCCATGTCGGAAGGCGGTGCTGCTGCGGCTGGGGAGGAAGGCCCGCCATCCGTGCCTGCTACCCTTGAGGAGCGGTCTCAAGGGCGGCGAGTGATCGTCATCTTGAAACGAGTGAGCAGGTCTATAAGAGCTGTGTGAGATGTAAGGTGGAAGATGGTTAACTTTGTCAAGAGTGCCTCCTGCTTTATGCTATACGTTCAGCAAGAGCGCTGCTGTGGGGATCTTGTTGAGGTGGTGCTGTGGGCCGTATGTACTGCTGTACAGCACCATGCCAGCGATGAGGGTGCGCAGTAAGCACAGCTTGTCCGGCGGGGTGTTTGAAATTGTCCAGCGAAGTCATGGCCGGAGCTCATCGACCTGCATCTTTTTATCCTCGCAATGACTGGGCTACTGTAGGTGAGGTATGGACCATGAACACGGGAAAGAGCGGTTCATCACAAAAAGCAGAGTAGTCTATCCTTCGTGTAGAGGTAGCCGCTGCTGCAACAGACAGGAAAAGATCTGGCGACGTACTGCCGTAGCATACATACCATAACCGGAAAACACTCCTTGCAGCGTCGTGGCCAACATTTGAACGCTGCCGATCCATCCCGAGAGGCCGCAAGAGAATCGTAGGCATGCATAGAGGCTGCCGACTGACGGCGTGAAGCTTCCACTGAAAGGGAGCACGTTCTTTTGGCTTCTAATGTCGAGGAACAACAAGCTTCCCTCTCTGGTGCAAAGTTGCACCGCACCAACGGAAAGCACGCCCTACACTGCTGTGTGCAGTAAACATCCCTCCCTCCTGGTTGCAGGAGAGCAACGCTAATGTCGCCGTCGCTCCTCGTCTCCCATTGAAAAAGGCATCGCTGGAGACGGTCAAGACCAAGAAGGGCGACTTTCAGCTGCTCAACTGCGACGATCACCGTCGGCTGGTCACCAAGAAATCGGGAAAGGATCCCAAAGACCTGAGACCGGACATTGTGCACCAGGTGAGAGGAATAATCGCTGCCGCTTCTCTGCCGCTTGTTTGGAAAATCATCTCCTGTTGCCCTGTTGGGACCACCTACAGTTACGCGAAGCACGGTCATCATGAATCCTGAAAAAATACAACGTCGGAGCTGCCCTGCGGGAAAGTTCTCGTATGACCGTGAGCATGTACAGTCGACCCCGCTTTCAGGACGCTCGTGTTAAGGGAACTCCCCGCTTTACGGAAACCTTTTTTCTGAGCACCAGGAGGCCCGGCAGAATTACGAAATTGATTTACCCCCTGTCATATTCCGCGTACCCCCTTTTTGTGTCCTGCGGGCCGTTCTTTGCACCCACCACGCGCCACATTGAGTGCATAAGTAGCGACGCACCGACAGCAGAAGTAGCGAGCGGTCTGCTGCTGCAGCTGTAGTAATTGGGTGTTGGTATGGATCGTCCTTCACCGAGGGCGAGGTTATCTCTCGCTTGGAGGACGTTCGATCCTATTTGTACGCGAAGGGAAGGGGTGGAGAGTACCGTGAGACGCAGTACCTCCTTTCGAAGACCGTTCATTCGTTTTCTCATGAAACTCAACAGAGCCGTAGAGCCAAGCCGCGGGGGGAGGTTCAGGGAACTCTTCGCGATATGTGGAGGGAAAAGCCGTCAGGGTAGCTTTTGGTCTCCGCGGGGACAGTTATATGTACTGGTGTTCCTCGGTGCGACGCTGAAATACGCTCGTTTTTTTTTAGTTTCACAAGAATGGGATAAATATACCGTAAACGTCGGAGTTTTTCCCCCGGGGAGGGGATCGTTTTTTTTCTGAAACTAAACCCCTCGGGGGGAAATTGACGTACCGGGGGGAGTTGGTTTCTATTTTTCCAACGCTACACCGTGGGGAAGCCACCTCCCGGGGGGTTGTGCAAAATAATGTTCCACGCACCAAACACATCGAGAGTGGCGAACTGAGATGGATAAGGTTTACGAGCAAGCGTTCAACAAGCAGAGGGTGGAGGAACGTAAGAGCAACGAAGGCAAAGAGAAAGAAGACAGCACGGAGGACAGCACCCGAGGGAGTTTGTCTCGTCCCGCACGTGATTCCAAGAAGAGGAAGGGCCCGCCTTCCGGTGACCAAGGGTACACCTAAATCTCGCTCGAAGCGCAGATCTGCAAATGAACGTTCCGTCCCATATCATGCATTTTGTGCTCCGCGATGCAACAGAATGGACTCAGAAACTAGAGAAATACATCCCCCCCGGGGGGAACTCATGGAAAAACTGGTATCCCGGGGGGAAATTGAAATACCCGAGGGAAGTTTTTCTTTTGGTCAAAAACGATCTACCCCGAGGCCGGTCGCCCCGGTGGTCTAGTGGTAACCTCGTAACCCGCTGGACGCAGAGGTCGTGAGTTCAAATCCCCATGGAGTGAGAACCTCGCTGCATTTGCGGGTGGAAGCGAAATATAGTTGAAAAGCTCTCGTGAGTACCTGACATCGACGTTAGCACCGTTGACGAGGGAAAGGGATGGGGGGACCCTTCTCGCGATAAAATGACAACTCAGCACGCACTGCACGAGGAAGGTGGGGCATGAAAAGAAATAAAAAGAAGAGAAAAGCCCTGGTGTTTACCCCCTCCTGTGCGACCCTGAATGGTTGTAGTTGTACGAAAAAATACACTGGGAAGTGTAGTATCGCTGAAAAAGTGTAGCACACGTCTCACCACGAAAATGGGGGGACTGTCGCCATAATAAATAGGACGAAAACACACACAACACACACACAAAGAGAGTGGGGGAAGCGGCGGTGGGGGGGAATAAACCGCGACCGGGAACTGCTGTAGAAGCGAGTAGGGCGGCCGAGGCAGCGCTTGTGGCGAACTATGTACCCGGGTGATGTTTTTGCGCCCTGTTTCCCTCCCTGCTGTATGCTATGCTCCTTTATGTATGTCCCTTGCATTGCCTTCGGCCTCTGTGCTGTGTTTCTTTTTTTTCATGTCCTCCCTGACTACTCTGCTTTGTTGGGTACCTTGATATCGCTATTGCTGTTGCCTTTGTTTTTGTACATCTGGCTGTCTACCCATCTGCCGCCTCTTTGTCCTGTTTGCTCCGTTACTCCCATGCCCTGGTGCGTAGTGCCTGGTGCTGGTACGTTACCCTTTGATTTTTTATTTAGGCGGGTGTGGGAAACGTCCTCCTTTGATTTTGTTTTTGTTTTATTTTNACTTGTGTACTGTAGTTGTTTTTCAACACGTCCCCGACTGCTGTGCTTCTCATTTCAAGTGTTGTATATATGTTCGACGTCAACAAACGGTTGCCAGTCGTCTCAGCGATGCTGACTNAGGCGGGTGTGGGAAACGTCCTCCTTTGATTTTGTTTTTGTTTTATTTTGATCGGTTTCCGAGGGCTCTTTTCTCGAACGGTCGGTGCGGTACCTGTTCTTTCTTTCTTCATCATTTTGTTTTCTTTTTCCGAGTGGTTTGTACCCTATTTTTGTTTTGTTTCCCCGCGGCGTCGTATGTGCCGGGTTTTGAGACCATGGGCCTTTTGTGGACTAAAGAGCTAATATGAGAACCAGCAAAAACAACCCCGGGGCTAAATCAAAGAAACCATGCTTCCAGGCCCAAAAGGTAATGAGGGGGGGTGTACTCATAGTCGTGCATGCCGTAGCCGTTAGACCATTGACCTCGCATCCCTGCAAAGCCGGGACGAAGCACGCCGGGTTCTCACCGGACCAGGCTCTCACATCACC